CTAAGCTCTGGTCATTCTCCATAATGACACTGAGCTGTCTAGTTATTCTCTGGAAAAAGCTGAATGTTGCGAATTTAACCCCATTAAGGCCAACACACAGGACTCTGTCTATGCTAGTAAACAATATTAACCTATTCTTGGATGCTGGCTATACAAATAGATGATTTCTTTACCACAGACCCTAAAATAAGTGGCCACAAGTGATCTTTCTATTGGGAGCAAGCTACTCTGTGCTCTTCTTCAGCTGTTCTCAAGCATTGTTTGAGCATTTGATCTTGAACACAAGTCAAAGCTATGTCAGGGGCTATGCTAACAATATAATGGTGTGGCAACTGTTGGAAGTTGCCCACATCCATGGTTTGGCTCTGTTTAATTTTCTATATGGGCCTCCTGACTTCAGCAAAATTAAAATCTAGCTGCACAAGAATAATCTATGCAGTATCCAGCTACAGTTCAACTATCAGGCAAGTAGGAGTCCTAGAGAACTTGTTTTTTTTTCTTTTCATATGAGTATTTTTCATAAATATAAGTGTTTATACAATTTAAGGGACAAAAATAGCTTTTAAAATGTAGGCTTTCTTCATGCATTTTGTGCTAATAGATCGGTAATACTCTTAAATATGGAGTCACAAAACACATTTACTTAAAGAATTTACTTCTTCCAGATTTTCTGGTATGTCTCAAGCCATTTGAAAAGCTTTGGCACTATAAGCTGTCCTTTCTATTTAAGTAGGTACAATACAGTGATTTGCTGCCATTCCATAACTTCCAGATCAGTTCCCAGCTTCATATTGTGAAGCCCTTGCTCATTTCTAAGCAGAGATTATCCTCTTGGTTTTAATGAATTTGGCTGAGGCTGGGGAATAGCTACACTGAAGTCACTCTGACTTTGATATAGAAAAACCTATGAGGAAGACATAAAGATTCACATCTCGCAGAACAAGAGCATACTGAATTCTTTTTTGCAAAAATCATGAAAATCTGTATGTGTTGTTGGGTCTGAACATCAGGTTTCTTGTGCAGGGAGAGAGAAGTGAACCTTGTGAAGGGGAGTGAACCTCCAAACGAGGTTTTACAGAGCTGGCTTGCTGAACTTCCAGCTGAGGTAGATCATCAAATACATTGTGGGCCAGTGCTGATCTGAATGCACAAAAGGGCTGAAACACAAAATTTGAGGCTTGTGGGAAAAGCCTCCTTCTGTATCAGATGTACAGCTGGAAATCATCTCCTGAATTTCTTCACCGAAGCCAATCCAATTGCATTCATATGATAAGGACCTGTGCGAGTTCTGGTTTCTTAACTGTTAGCTGGCAATGGATGAAGTATGAATCAATGTTTGGAGGAGTTCTATAAGACTGAATCTGCTACAGCTGCAGACTTGCCTAGCTCAAGACCCTCAGACCACTTCATAACCAAGGGTACAGTAGTGGGGCATTCTGAATAATCTTGTGTCTTTCCAGAAGTCATTCTCAGCTTAAAAGAAATCTGGATTTTGGCATAAGAATTGTTGTACAATGATCTCTAAGGTGTTGGCATTTTTTTTTCTTTTTTTTTTTTTTTTTTCCCAAAGCTTAGAATTTCTTGATTTTGGTTTCAAAAATATAGAATGGCTCTTGTTTCTTATCACTAGAGAAGTGGACTACCTAAATGTGTATAAAGGATGGACATCTACCTTTCTCTTGCATACCCTCAAAACTGGAGGCTTTTCTCCAACCCCAATAGAGTACTTTTAGTACTTCATCATCCTTAGTATTTTCATCATGGCATCCAACTAAATCTCCCTAATGGCAGTTATGGTCCAGGACCTTTAGTTCTGCCTTCATTGGAGATGGAAACTAGCTTAATCTCTGGCAACAGGAACCATTTACAACTTAAAATAGAATTAGTTCAACCCATTGGCAAAGGCTCTGAAGTGAGATTCTTTTACCATATTAGTGTCATAAGTTCGAGGAGCGCGGCAAAGAGCTGCATTCACAAGGAAGAAAAGGGTTAAGAAGGATAAAGAAAGAGGTTAACGAAGTCAATATGTCTCTATCTAGAGACTGCGGTAAAAGAAACACAAATCAGAATCATAGAACCAGAATCTTTTGAGTTGGAAGGGACCCTGAAAGGCCATCTGGTCCAACACCCCTGCAATGAACAGGGAAACCCACAGCTCCATCAGGTGCTCAGAGCCCCGTCCGGGCTGACCTTGAGTGTCTCCAGAGATGGGGCATCACCATTTCTGGGCACCCTGTGCCAGTGCCTGATCACCCTTATTGTAAATAACTTTATATTCAAGCTAATTATTCAACCAGTAAGTCAGACTGAACACAAATGCCTATATCTGAAGATCTTTTTAAAACAAAAGGATCATTTAGTACATCAGGATCTGTGCAATACTCTCGACTTGGGTTATCCACGGCTTTGTCATCAGAAGCGCGTGCTTAAACTTCTGTAGTGAATCTGTTAACTATTAATTGCTTTGGGATACTCAGACTTGGAAATGTGCCAGAACGTGCATCTCAGACTTGGCTTCCTCCAAATTACACGTAATTCCATTGCAAATGCTGGAAAAGTATTCAGTGCGACTATGATATGGCACCTGCAATGCTGACAGTGCTGAAGCACTGACAGAAACAATGGAAAGCTACTACAATAGTCTTCCAAGACTATTTTACTTGATTTGTTGGTTGGAATTTTTAATGCAGTGATTTTTTTCTAGCACAGCAGTCCTTCTTCTGCCTTTCAAAGAAAGTTACCAAAATTTGTATTGAAAATAATAAAACTTCTTAATGCTTTGAAAATATATATATTTTCCCTCTGTATTTCTCAGTCTCTTTTTTCCCAGATTTTGCTGCCACTATTTTCCTTTGCTTTCACCAAAAAAAAAAAAAAAAGGAAAATAGAAAAAAACAAACAGAGAAGAAAGACTGTATTTGTGCTTGAGATCAAAAAAAGAAACTAAGAAGGATGTGACTAAAAAGATGCTGAAATGCTGCACTTTAAAAAGAAGGGCATTTTCATTTTTACAGTTGTTTGTAGGGAGGAAAAACACATTAATTCCGGTGGCTGATAGTCATGTCCAAAAAGAGTCTGAAACCAGTTGGTTATAAACCTCAGAATCTGCTCAGGAAGTCATAAACACACATTCTCTCAATCATACACAAACAATAGCATCGATCTTCCCCTAGATGAGATGCATCTTGCAACCTGATCTCCTCCACCTCCTGCTTTGATGGCCTATTTTGGTTCCTGACAAGACATGTGTCTGGCCAATTTGTTCTTGATTTTCTCCTTCCAGCACCTGCTCTGTGTTAAAAACTCAAGCTCTGCAAGTAAGCATTCCAGAACCAGACGTGAATATAACTCGGAGCTAAAATGAACATTCTGCTCCATTAACTTTCATAAATGGATGATGCCCTTTGTTTTTTAACACTGCCTTTAATGGCCCCTGTTAAGGATGAAGCAGTTTTGAGTTTAGCTGTTACTGGATCCCCCTTCAAATTAAAGACTGTCAAGTTGGAAACAGTTGGGTTTTTCATTGATGTTGCTTTCTTGAAAAGTGCTTCCAGAGTTGTTTTCCACCACAAAAACAAGTAAGTAAAAAGTGGAAACAAAATGCTGGAAGACAACATAAAGCTCATCAGGCTGTGAGTGGGTTCACAGGGTTTACCTTATCACACGCTCAAAACCAAGAGCTGCAGCACTGTGTTGCACTCAGCTTTAAGTTTGCAGTAGAAGGAACAAAATGATGCACTGAGAAAGATTTCTGAACTGCAAGTGCTCAAGTTCTTCATCAGATTACATCTTATCCACTTCTCCCTTCTCAGTGATCCTTGGTAAAATCCATGCGTTCTCTTAACCTGTCCCAGCTCTGAAACAAAATGTCGTCTGAGACTCTCCATCAGTGTCTATTTTAATGCTAGGCAATTGCTTAAGGCAAGTTACTCAGTGTTAGGGAGGTACAGCTTAGAAGTGTGTTTCCTGTGAGATACTGCAGAACTTCTGAGAAATGTTAACCACATTCACCAAATGATTAACTGAGTAATGCAGAACTCGAGGTAGTTTCAGCTTGCAGATTCAAACTCAAGTGTTACGGGAACACATGCAAATGTCTGCATGTGAAATGGTTGTTGTGAAAGATCTCGTTTCAGTTAGCAGGAAACCAGGCAACATAGTCAGTGAAATTTAGAGTACTGTTCATCTCAGAAGCTACTAGGGAAACAAAAGGGCAATGGGAAATGATGGGACCTTCCTCAGCATTTCAAATGAAGTTTCTGCACGTTGAATCTCAAGATTTCCACAAACAATGACATCAGTTCTCGCACTTGTCCCACATGTTGCTCCCTGTGTATGGGCACACATCTTCAAAATGAATTCATACCTGAAGGAATAAGTCCCTTAACACAAAGCGTTTAACGAAACTGAAAATACCATAGGTTCTCTTATCTGATCTCCATCTGAAGTATGAGAAACGCATAGCTCTCCTCTGGATCCTGTGCCATGTCTGACAGCCCAGCTTGAATGAAATGATGTTTAAAGCCAGTGCTAAGCATTGAGTAAGGCAGCAATAACCATTAAGGTTATCCCTTCCCAAATTCTCAAAGATTTCTTTCCCTTTCAGAGATTCTTGTCTACTGTCACTAATGAGAGGACTTTCTGAGCTGCAATTGAAAGCCTTCATAGCCACTAATTCAAACACAAGGCCATCACCTAAAAGGACTTGCAACTCATGAGCAGGCGGGGATCGGCACCTGCAAAGATAGAAGAATATACAGAGCTGGAGTATTGACTGAACAGAGCCAAACAAGCTGTGTTTTTGCAAGAAAAAGTCATTTGAACATCCCTGAGGTATTTGATATGTAACTAAAGAAGTTCCAGCAATGAATGTATTGGAGAATAACTCACATAATTGACTGAGGAGATTCATATTTTCCTGGTATTTCCCTAAGAATTCTCTAGTGATTTCATCAGAAGAGAATCCATGACATCTTTAAGTAGGTTGGACTTCTGCTTACCTGCATCTCAGTACTGAAGACCATAGTTTTCTTTACTGTAAGAAAGCCAATAACTTCTTTTCCTTCCTCTACTGGGTTCAGTGAATCATACTGTATTTTAATTTGAAAGTGAACTTAAAAGGCCATCCAGTCCAACTCCTCTGCAACGAACAGGGACAGGAACACCAGATTCCTAGAAGATTTATGCCAAGTTTATTGTTAGATCTGATGAAACGTGTATATTCATGCCTTTATTTCTTAACCAAATCTTTTTTCTGTTTAAGGTAACAGCAGATGTGCTTTCTGGTGACTTTCTCAAGAGATTCAAACTAAGTTCAAAGCCCATTTTGTGCTGCACACATTTCTATAATGACAGGCACGCAGGGTCATCTGCACAGGACTGAAAGATGTGACACGAGACCAACACATGATCATCTAACTTTATAACTGGAGATCTAGTGGGATAACTTCAGTCATCTAAAATGTAATTAGATTTCTGTGACAAGACAGATGAGTCATTTCTGAGTAGATGAAGAAATTATTATAGCTTTGTTTTGTAGATGGAGAGGAAAGGCCAAGGGAAATGCCACATCCAGCACAAGTAATGAATTTTCTGGTAAAGTCAGGTGTCAAAAACAGAGCATTGGAGTCTCTCAGCTGTGGTTTGGCCAAGGTTTTGAAGCTGAATTGTGTATCCCAAACACAAAAATCTGTGCTCGGGTCACTGGCAACAGAACTTCATTTCTACTAAGAAAAAAGGTTCATGTTCAGTCCGGTTCTGTAAGTGCCTTGTGCTTCACCATTGTTTCCCCTGTTGGTTGTGCAGGGATCAGAGTGAGGGAAATTGATCATGAGATAAAGCCAAAAATCTGAGATAGTAAGACAGGTGCCTAAATTTACCTTCAGTACCATGGTAAGCGGTCTGGAAATGTATTACTGCTCACAGCTTGCCTAAAATAACCTACATAAATCTTGATTATCCCCTTTATGGTAAAGTTCATGTGGGTCACTATGATTTTGGGGTTAGCAATTAACTTTCCTTATGCTGTCCTCTGCAATTAGTATCAAATACATGTTTAGCTTCAGAAATATCTGGAAACAGTGTTGCGAGGGTAATTGCAAAGGCATCTGTAGACATTTTAATAGGGACCACTGTGTAAAACTTTCCCCTGTTGCTGATTTTGGCACGCAGACCTATGTTTTCTCATGTTCTTTATAAAGAGAACTGTTTTAAATGGTTTGCTTGCTGCCTCGCCTCTCTTTCCTGACCTTTTTCTTATTAAATGCTATAGCAAGGAGTCAGTCATTAAAAGTTGATTTGTTTACCTTGATGAGACTCGGTTCTTAACACAAATTTCTTGGGGTATCTGCACAATAATTAGATAAGGCATTAACCACCCAAATAAACACTACTTATGAGGAACGAGGTGTTATTGTGACTTATTTTCTATTTAGCATCTGTGGTTTTAATAGATGTAAGAACGAAGAGATATGGTGCACTAGAGAACACAATAAACTGAGCATAAAATGTATATATATATTTCAAATGCTTCTTGACAATAAAGTCTCAATCAGGGCTGTTCTCAAATAATATCAGTAGCCATCATATGAACACACTGTTCCTCCTCCTCTCCCATCAGTCTTAAACTTACTCCAGGGCAACAGTGCTGACTTCCCAACTAAAGAATAGAATATCCTACCAGCTACCCAGAAGGTCTTTGATTTGGAGTGCGAGTGTGGTTTCATTTGGATAAATGAAAATGCCTCTACTGGAGGCTGTAGTCAGAAGAGCCTAAGGAAATCTGCCTTAAAAATAAAGACAAGTACTGGGTTTACACTTAAAAGCCCTGTCCGTTTTTATGAAATCCAGGGTTACTAGTTTGTAAAGAATTCTGAGATAATATAACTGCAGCGTTTGGGGATGCAGATCATTATCTCCTCAGAGCTCCGCACAGTATCGATGTGAATTTGAGTCACTTCAGGCAATCTTTATGCTAATGACATGCCTGATAACTAGATTTAAATGAAATCAGCAATAAGGCTCAGCATCGTGCTGCTCCATTTTCTTCTTTGGTCAGTTACAGTGTTGATCATCATTAGGCATCCAGATAGGGTCTCTTTTTTTCTCATTCTTAGGTCAACAGTTAATATTCTGGGACTTTGACAGTTCCATGGGCTGGAGTGGAGTATTAACCCTACCACAAAGATTTCAGTCATTCTCAATTCAATTGTCTGTATGCAGTCTGTACATTAATGGAGTGCCTTGAATCTTATTATAGTTTAAGTAAACCTGGGGATAAAATCAACTGCCGAAGTAGAGGTACTTACTGCCATTTCCAGCAGTAAAACCAGTGGGTTACCTAGATTTTTCCTTTGTTCCCTGTCATTTGTATCCTAGAAGGTAAGATACTTAGCCTAGGGAATCTTGGAAGACATCACATACCTGCAGTGAGGAAACTGAACTGGCATGAGATTTTTCTTGTGCTGTGAGGGGAGGTAGAACACCCAGTGCACAGACTGGGTGGGCGAGTGTCTAGATATGGATCTAAATATGACCCAGGTATTTACATTAGGAATTTAACCTTTCTGAGCTCCTTCTTTAATTGACAGCTAAAAATTTCCATGAAAGGACAGTTTAGAACAGCAAATTGGATCCTTCCTTTAAATCACATTTCAGTAGAACCTATACACCTCCATTGACCACAGGGTATCTAGGCTCCTAGTGCTACTCCAATTTAGGTGCCTGACTTTTGTGGCATTACAGCTGTAGTGGTACATATCCAAGTTGATGCATACGTGCTTAGGAAAGCCTCTACCAGCTTCCCTCCCTGGGGAATGGAAAGTTCTGTTCTTATTTTAGGTTTGTTCCCACCCACTGCAAGGATGAGGTATAAAACTAAGTACATGTTTGGCTGTAACCTCTGTGCTATCCAAGACTGATCCAAACCTCATCAATCTCTAAGGCACATACGTCTTGATTGAGGTGGCTGTTGGATGAGGCCTACAAGATCAAAGATAAAGGGGAAGATAGCCAAAGTCAGATTTAGAAATATAATCAGCTTGCCATAGCTACATTCTCAGTTAAATTGCTACAGGCCAACAGTTGCTCTTTAGGGAGTCTCTAAACTCCAACACATGCCCCTATATTACAGTAGTAAAACCGAGGAACAATTTTGCTCAACAATAGTTTTCCTGTGTGCATTGAAATGGCCTAATATACTTTCAAGCTTGAATTTAGTGGTTTCAGGATAAATATACAACTGTGAGGTTTTCTCCTTTTTTTTTTTCTTCTCTATTTTTTTTCCTGCAAAACCCAAATTAGCAAACCACAAGAAATCTGAATGACATTTCCCCTCATCCTCCCCACTCACTAACTGGTGCAGCTGTGAAATCCAAAGCACAGCTCTTCTCCACAAATACACCTCTCTGCAGACATCAGTACCACAGACTCTAAACCAGAGCAGATGGCAGAGGTTAAGAGGACAGCAATGGCCTCTTTGAGAAGGAGCTACCCATGCTGAGCCTTGAGTGCCCTATCTATTCCAAAGGGCAAGGAGCCACATCAAAGGAAGATCAAGTGAGAAAAAGACAACTGAAAGGGTTCATCAGACCCCAGAAGATATCACTCAAGACTTCTACAGTGAAAGCACAAACACCAAGGTTGTTTGTGACCCTACTTCATCTCAGGAGGACTCAGCCTCCAGCTCAAGGCAGGGTCAGCTCTCAAATTAGACAGGTCGTTTTATTCAGTTTGATCTTGAAAACAGTAAAAGATAGAGATTGCACAACCTTCTCGTGTAACTTGTTCCACCACTTGGCTATACTCATTACAGTAAAAAATTCCTCCTTAGAGCCAGTCTCAACCATCCAATTCACTGCTGTCTCTCAGCAGTTGTTGCCTTCAACACTAAACTGAGAGAGAAAGGTCTTGCAAAGGCATCCTGACAGACTGGAGGGCTGAGCAATCACCAACTGCATGAAGTTTAACAAGAGGAAGTGCTGGGTTTTGCAATCTGGGATAGGGCAGCCCTAGCTTTGCATGCAGAGGTATGATAGGCTGGAGAGCAGCCCCACAGAAATGCAACTGGGGTATAGGTGGGTGGTTGGGCTGGATGATCTTGGAGGTCTTTTACAACCTTGGTGATTCTATGATTCCAGTTGAGAATACATTGGATGCCAGCAGTGTGCCCTGGAGCCAAAAGGGCTCCCGTCCCCTGGGATGCACCAAGCTCAGCACTGCTGGGTGAGGGTAGAGACCGTTCCCTCTGCTCTGTGCTGTGGCCTCACCTCAAGCACTGGGTGCAAATTTGGTGCCACAGTGTAGGACATAAAGCTGTTAGAGGATGCCCAAAGGAGGGTTGCAGAGATGAGGAAGGGTCTGAGGACAAGGGGTATATCAACTGCTGAGGAGGCTGTTGAAATAGACAGACACAGCTCCTCATGATGGCCTGCAGCTCTGCATGGCCCTTCATCTTGTCATGGCAGCCTGTAGTTCCTCATAGCGGCCTGCAGCTCCTCACAGGGAAGTGGAGAGGCAGGCACAGATTTCTGTTCTCTGGAGACAGTGACAAAGCTTTCCTTCACTGGCCTTTACTACCAGTCCTTACCCTCCAGTCTCCCTTCTAGTGATTTATCTGAACTGTATCTGGATATCTCTTAGGATAAAGTGAATCAGATAAAGGCAGATTGCATTTAGCAGTCCAAAGTTACTAACTATAAACCTTTTTTACAGCATCCCAACCATCTATAAATACTAAGGAACAAGGAGAGGGCGGTGCATTGCTGCAATAAATGCTCTAGAAATAACGACACTGTCCATAGATAATGCTACCCTGCAATCCTATGGCAAACTGAAAAGTCTGGGGATCTGGAGAAAAATACACTTATATGCCAATTACATTAAACTGCATGGGCTCTCAAATATGCATTCAGATTCATGTCTGCCAACCTCACTCCTTTCCACGCTTTCCTTCTCAATTCCTTTTGGAGAAAGCAGAAAATTTCAATGAGGAAAGGAGGTGAACTCCACCAAAGCAACACACTGTACATTTGAACTCATGAAAGAGCTGGTTATTTCATTCAGAGCTAAATAATGGAGGATTTGTACATCTCTCACATTTCTGAATGACTTTCTTCCTATTGACAAATTGGCCTTTTTACAGATTGTACTGAATATGTGTATTAATGTG